GGGGGGCACAGCAGGCTGGGCAACAGCTTTAAGGAACTATCCTAAATGTGTGTGTGTGTGAGCAGGAGCGGGGGCGTCTCCGCTTGTGCGCGCCGAGGATGCACAGCTCAGCTCACCGTCCAACAACAGCTCGAAGGACTACATACGATGCAGAAGACCACACTGACCCGCCACCTCTCTCCCACACAGTGTTATTCATTACAACACACAGGCTACACTGTTGAACAACCCCAGCTGTCACATGAAATTCAAATATCCACTGAGCTGCCATAGGTGTTTGAGATTCACTGGAGCTTTATGGGGACTTTCTATTCATTATTAACCCGCTTAACTGATCGTTGGTGCAATGAGGGCAACCTCGCGGAGTTCACGAATAAAACATTTCTTTTTACAGCGCCAGAAAGTGTATAGAAGTACGAGATCCTTTTGTTAGTTGGCTGCAGCTCATGCAGACTGACACAATAACAATGTTTTGAGACTACTTACCCCATTAGCGATGTTTGTAGGGAGCAGCGAAAAGACGTTCTGGCAAATATTTGTCTCCAGATGTTCTCACATGTGTTCACCAGCTTCCACAAATGCTGCGTTAAACCTCTGCGCTTTACTCTTCTGCGGGTTCGAGAGACAAAGCTGACACCATCAAAACTTTGGTGGAGAAGTAGATGGCGTGTCTTGTCTAGTCAGTGGTAAATCCATACCGGTCTGTACGCCACGTTACAAACGAAACGTTACAAAAAAAATATCTGCCAAAACCGCGACAATTCCAGAATAGGAGGAGAAATAAAGTTTAACTGAAGTAGAGGACACACTAATCCAACAGTCCGTGTGATTGTCTACAGCTCTTTGGGAACAGCACTACGGGGCTGTGGAGCGTCAGAGACTAGCATACAATACACACACAAACACAGGCACGAGCACACACCCACGCACACGAGAGGCAGCGTATACTATGGAAACGTAATATGCCCACACAGAATCACCCTTTTCATTGTTGAAATGAAACGATGGTGTGGGCTTGTTGACAGCAATTAATATGGAAAATGGCTTTTAATCCTATTTCTGGACTATTCCCCCCACGGTGGTGCGGACAAATGAAGTCCAGATGTTCCACCTCCTTACTTCCTCTCTCCTAGTACATCCCAGCATGAAGTAAAGCCCACACTTTTCAAGTCATCCTGGCTCAGCTCCCCTTTAACAGCAGTGGGCAGCAGCAAAATGCATGTGGCTTTGTGACAATATAATGAAATGATTACATTTAGTGTTAAAGGAGCGTGATAAATAAACACCAGCATATGCCTGCTTTTGCTTCTGTAACAATTTTATGCCGTTTTATTTGTTGTCTCTGATGAGTCACTGCTGAAGTTTTTACATGTATCCCTCAGGTCTGGGTTTAGGTGCAATAAGGGTGAGGTAAAAGTAAGTCAGGGCTTGTTAGTCACCAGGGTTGTGCCTGAACATAAAGCGGGGCAGGTGCTGGCTCCAATGAAAGAGCTTCTATCTAACTCCAGGAGAGGTAATAATCTCTTCAATGTCACTACGCTGAAAGCCAAAGTCCTCACACCTGGCTATGATGTCACGTGTCTGTGATAAGAAGGAGCTGATAGTGTTGTTATTGTAGGCTATACTTTTCCTCATAAAATGAACACTGTCTAAAGGCCAGGAAACATAGTTCAGACAAATACATAAAGGCTTTTTGCTCAGAGTCTTGCCTGGTTGTATGACATCAGAGCAATTACCTAGGGAGGGCACCTCAACTCATCATACAGTCGATGAAACATTCCCAGTGAGAACACACCACCAACTCTAAAAGGGTCGTTCTGCCTCTGGTCTGTATAAAACAGTTTCACTACCTTTGACTCATATCATGTGTACTGATGGTTTTATCAAGTCTGTGCAAACCACTCGCTCACTTGTTCCTGTCGCCCCCACAGCAGCTAGTATGTGGAAAGAAAAAGAAGAGCAAGTTGTGGAAAAAAGGCTTTGTAATACCTCTGCTTGAGTTGCCAGAATCTTTAAAACCTGCAATCTATAGAGATGAAGGCAACTCTTAACTGTTTAATGGTGCATATTCAAAGCTTCTGTTGTTTAATGTCTGTATCCTCGGCTCATGCGCTGGCAGGTTGAACGAGCAGTGTGTAAAGGATGTGTATCAGACAGGCTTTACAGATTCAGGGCTCACTGTGGGTGGATTTATGATGGGACACTTTGAGGAGTTGCTCCAGTAAAGCTGCCCCACTGCCATGTCGCTCACTAAGCTTTTAGGGGAGGGGTCAAGAGCCCTGACCTCACTTCCTGTTGGGGGCTCCTCACAAGCATTCCATTGTCTGTGAGAATGTGCATTGGCTCAGGGGACTCTGCGCATCTGGCAGCTGTTATTACCAACCTCCTGTACCCACCCCCTGAGGAAGATTATTACATGTACTGGTAAATGTGCAACTAAAGCCCACATAAAAATCAACTTGCCGTAATGGTATGGCCACAGCTTTCTTCAACTTGAAAAGAATGAATCAGAAAGCTGTTTTTATCACTGCATTCAGTGATTTGTATTTTATCTTTCTATCTGAGCAGTCCTTACATTAGATTCCAGCATTGTCTTAACAGTATCAAGGATCAATGTAAAGGCAATAATTTGCCTTTTTTTAATGCATATTAACTTTCTTGTGACAAGTTAGATAAGATGATCAATACCATTTTTATGTCCATCAGCTAAATATAATACTGTGCAAAAGTTTAAGGTACTTCAAATATTTAAATTTTCATCCATCACCATCAAGGAGGTGTCTGTTCAGTCTCAGATTCCTTCTGCAGCATGACAACGAACCCAAACATACACCCAGAGCTATAAACAACTATATTCAGTGACAAAAAGCACAAGGAATCCTGCAGCCAATGGTCTGGCCCCCACAGAGCTGCCATCTCAACATAGGATTCAGTTTGAGATTACATGAAGAGTCTGAAGACTGTTTAGATCAACCTACCTGCCAAGTATCTTATGCGCAACCCTGTATCAGTCCAACAGTAGTGAAACCAGCCTAACAGCACTGCTAAAGCTCGCTAATCAGCACATGGGATCTCATTTGTTTATTCCATACAAAAACAGAAGAAACAAATCACTGTTTTACAGAGAAGTTATGTGCCAAACGTTCTTGGCTGGAATCAGTAACATCATGGAGTTTCCATAATCTTGCCTGGAAACTGCTCCTTGCCCATCCAACAATCACAAACAGGAGCACACTCACTGACAAGAAATCACTTTATTCTGAATTCTTGTCAGTGAGTGTGCTCCCAGTTTGGTAGGTAGGTAGTTAGGTTGGTAGGTAGGACTTTATTGATCCCATGATGGGGAAATTCCTGTGTTTCAGCAGCAAAACTCCATAAGAACAAACACCACACACATATCTTGAGAAACAAATTCCAAAGTACCTAAAACCAGACAGAATATAATATTTGAGAGACAATCAAAAACAAGAATGATCCTCCCACAATTTACCCATGAGAACAAATCAAAATACCTAAGAACAAGACAAGATATAGTATTGATGAGATCAATAAATCAATGACAAGAATATTACTCCCATAATTAATCCCGCAATGGGGGAAATGCCTGTATTTCAGCCACAAGGATCTCTGAAAAACTAATCAAAAATAGCTAAAACAAGAAAATATAAAGTATTCAAGGGAAATCAAGGACAAGATTTTACACATGTACATAATTACAGTGCATTTTACCCAGAGTTGACTATTGCATAGTCCCTCATACTTTCACCTAGCTTATCCCTGCAGTGATGTGTTGTACAGTCTGATGGTTGTGGTGAGGAATGACCTACAGTAATGCGCCTTCTTACACTGGGGATGCAACAGTCTTGTGCTAAAAAGAACTGTTCAGAGCTTCCACTGTGTGGTACAGGGGATGGGAGGGGTTATGCATGATGGATGTTACTTTTACCAGCATCCTTCTGTCCGCCACCTCCTTGATGGAATCCAGAGAGCAGTCCAGGACAGAACCAGCTCTCTTAACCAGTTTGTTGAGTCTCTTTCTGTCCCTGGCCGTGCTACCTCCTGCCCAACCCACAACAGCATAAAAAACTGCAGATGCCACCACAGAATCATAAAATGTCTGTAGGAGTGCCCCCCCGCACACCAAAGGACCTCAGTTTCCTCAACAAGCCTCTGGCCCTTCCTGTACAGGGCATCTGTGTTGTTGCTCCAATCCAGTTTATTGTTGAGGTGGACACCCAGGTATTTAAAGGTGTCCACAATCTCAATATCTGAGCCCTGAAAGCTCACCGGTGTGAGCGGTGGTGATTTCTGCCAGGGGTCAATCACCATCTCTTTAGTCTTGCTGGTGTTCAGGACCAGGTGATTTTTCTCACACCACTCCACAAAGTCAGTAACAACCCCCCTGTATTCCCCCTCGTCCCCC